AATAAAATATAATTTTTTTAATACTAACCTCTTGAAAAAAAAACTCTTTTAATACAATTCTTTTATTTATAAAACTTAAAAATTAAATATTTTTTATTTAAATTAATACATCATTAGTTAAACAAAGGATAATTGTTTCTCGTGTAACTAAAATGGAAAAAAAAAAGCTTAGATTATACCTAAAAAGTATAATTTTAAGTATTAAAATATTAAATTATTTTTATTATTTTAATAATAATAATATAATAATTTTAGTAGCAAAACTTTCATTGGCTTTTATAGGTAGGGACAAAACGTGGACTAACCTCCCTAATTTAGGCTAAAATCAACATTTAACTCCTCATCTTATAAAATTGATAGGTTTTAATCTCTAACCTTATAATATGATATTTTTAATCATTTACTTTATAAAGTTGAAAGGTTTTACCCACTCACATTACAAAATTGATAAATTTTAACCATTTACCTTATATTATGATATTTTTAACCTTTTATATGAACGAATTGAAGAAAATAACCCTTGTTTAACATCAAATTTTAATGTTTTATTAATTCTGTTAATTGACTATCAGTTCTGTTAGCTGATTGTCAATTTTATTAACTGATTGTTAGTTTTGTTAGTTGATTATTAACATCTGTTAGCATTCCATTAATGAAACTAACAAATTAAATTAAATTTAAATTTCATATTTTTTATAATGAAATGCTAACAGATGTTAACAGTCAACTAAAAAAACTAACAAAACATTATAACCTGATGTTAGGTGAGGTTATTTTCTTTAATTCATATCGATGATAGGCTAAAAATATCATAATATAAGGTAAAATGTTAAAATCTATCAATTTTATAAAATGAGGGGTTAAAACTTACTAATTTTGTAAGATAAAGAGTGAAACTGTTATGTTATAAGGTGAGAGGTTAAAATTTACCAATTTTGTAAGATAAAGAGCGAAACTGTTATGTTATAAGGTGAGGGGTTAAAACCTATTAATTTTGTAGATTAAATATTAGTTTTTGCCCCCAATTTAAAACCCTAACATCGTCGCTTTCGCATTCGGCATTCAAATCTCTCTTGTATTGCGGCATTGCAGCCGTGTTTCTCCTTCGGAGAGATATAAACAAACCCCAGTCAAAAGCCACCTCTGCCGGATAGCCGACAAAGATGGCATCAGCGGCGACGTCTGGCCGAGCGGCAAGGAGGATGGGAGCTGAGGACGAGAAGCTGGTGTTCGAGACCACTGAGGGAATAGAGCCCATCGCGGGCTTCGATCAGATGGGCCTCAAGGACGAACTGCTCCGTGGAATCTACAGCTACGGTTTCGAAAAACCATCGGCCATCCAGCAGAGAGCTGTGATGCCGATTATCCAAGGCCGCGATGTTATAGCTCAGGCACAGTCCGGTACGGGCAAGACATCCATGATTGCACTCACTGTTTGCCAGAGGGTCGACACATCTAGCAAAGAGTACGTTAGGTTTCGATTTTGTTCAGTGGAATTCATTATTTTGTCTAATTAACGCCTAAAACTGAAAACCCTAAATTTTTTGGGTTGGGAATTGTAAATTTGGGAAAGAAAGAATCAAAGATTATACATTGTTAAAGAAGGCATTACTATTTACCGCAGTATTCCTCTAGTAGGGAGGCAATAGTTATATACACTTAATACCTTTTCGGGTTTAGGAAGTATTGGGTTGAATGGTAGATTAGGAAGAGAAGCAGTAGAATCTGATATGCAAAGCATTACATAGATATCTTTTGGTCTGGTATGCTAGTGAGGTCATGGTTATGGATATTAATCAGTAATTTACTTTTTTGGTGGATTTTATGCCGAAAGCTGAAAGCTATTTTCTTATAATGTCTGCTTATGTTGGTTCAGGGTCCAAGCATTGATCCTGTCACCCACAAGAGAACTGGCATCTCAAACGGAGAAAGTTATATTGACTATTGGGGAATACATTAGCATACAAGCACATGCTTGTGTTGGAGGAAAAAGTGTGGGTGAAGATATCAGAAAGCTAGAACATGGAGTTCAAGTGGTTTCTGGAACTCCAGGCAGAGTGTGTGACATGATCAAGAGGAGATCACTACGAACCAGGGCCATTAAATTGTTGATTCTTGATGAATCGGATGAGATGTTGAGCAGAGGGTTCAAGGATCAAATTTATGATGTTTATAGGCATCTCCCGCCAGATCTTCAGGTAATTTCCTCCTCTATCTTGTTTCAGTTTTCAAACTGCTGTTTTTCTCTTGCAATTGTCATTAAAACATTATAAATAATAAGTATCATAAGGTAATAAAAATACTTAATTACAGTACGTACGGTTCATAATTGTGTGTTTCTATTGGTTTTCTTTTATCATTTGTAAAAGCAATGAATGAGAGTTTTATTTGTTGTAAGGGTGTGAATTTTCTTTCTGATGTTGTCCTCCATCTATTGAATTTTCACAGGTTTGAGTCCCTGTGTCCCTTCCATGCCTTTATCTCACTTTTTGCCTCGTTTTAGTTTAATTATGTCTTGTAAGAGGGGCAGTATTAATTTTGAAATTAATGTCTTGTTGTAGGTTGTCTTGATATCTGCTACTCTCCCTCATGAAATCTTGGAAATTACAAGCAAATTCATGACAGATCCTGTGAGGATTCTTGTAAAACGTGATGAGTTGACCCTGGAGGTATGTAACTGTTAACCTGCCCTGTATTCTATTGAGAATTTTCTCCAAACTTATTTTTTTCTTTTTTGGTTGTTATCTTATGATAACAGGGAATCAAGCAATTTTTTGTTGCGGTTGAAAGAGAAGAGTGGAAGTTTGATACACTATGTGATCTTTATGATACACTAACAATCACTCAAGCTGTTATTTTCTGCAATACAAAGCGAAAGGTTATGTTGTAACAATGTTTTGTGTTTAACATTTACTAGATTCTCTATGTCATTTTTATGTTGGCCTTTTTTTTTGCTGAGTATTACACTCAAAGCATTAATGGCTTGGTAAACATATATTGTGAATGTGATTCTAAAGTTGTACAAATTAATTGCTGGGTCTATTGCATAGCTGATCCAATGTAGTTATGGGTCAAAAGATATGTTTGTTTTGAATTTGAAATTTGATGAAGAAATAACCATGCTGAACTTATGTTTTTGGTCTCTGTTATCAAGTTGAATTTCTTGTTTAGGCTCTTCAGTTTCGTTTTCTTGAGTAACTTCTTTGTAAGCGTTTGAATTTTTATATATATGTGAAATCATATTTTGATACATATATTAACACGTATGGAACAGGTTGATTGGCTTACTGAGAAGATGCGTAGCAATAACTTCACAGTCTCATCAATGCATGGTGATATGCCTCAGAAGGAAAGAGATGCAATTATGACTGAATTTCGTTCTGGTGCAACCCGTGTTCTTATAACAACAGATGTTTGGGCTCGGGGCCTTGATGTCCAACAGGTGAGGGTTTCTTTTTTCTGGTTTTCCCTCTTGGCTTGAAGTATTCTTTTTCCTAGTTAAAAAGGGTCTTCTAGATGGATTTAATATTTTAATTATTTCTTAATAACAATATATGACGATGCAGAAATTGTTTTTAGAAAAATGAAGTTTTTCTGCATGTTACCCTTGACCTCCTGGATGGTTTGAGGACTTGGGTGTTTGCTATTTTTCAATTTTCATTTCTTTCATTTTCACAATGCAGGTCTCCCTGGTGATCAATTATGACCTTCCCAACAATCGAGAGCTTTATATTCATAGAATTGGTCGTTCAGGTCGTTTTGGACGCAAGGTATTCCTTTGTTATGTAATTTGATTTAGTTTTGAGATTGACAGTTCTATCCAGTTTTATTGTATGTAATCTAGTTATCTGTTCAACTTTTCAATGTTTTCAGCACTCTCTTTATTTGGCACTGCAATGTGTTTCATTTACCTTTGATACTTATCTGTCTAGTAGTTTCTTAAATTTTCTGCAAAAGAATGCACATATTATTCGGTTTTCATTGTTTTCTTCTCTTCTATTAACAGCAGCCATCTAATTTGTTTTGAGTTGAACTTTGTTAGAATTTGACAGTTTGCTCCTCGTACTAGATTTCATCATGTGCAATTTTTTGCAAATTTGATTAATTTTCTATTTCCGCTAAGAGTTTTGCCAGTACTAATTTCAGTGAATTAATGCTCCTACTTGGACCTTAATACCATTTCTGTGAGTGGCTATTATATTTCTGTGTGAGCTAAGTAGTTCTTTTTTGCTACAGGGTGTTGCAATAAATTTTGTGAAAAGTGATGATATCAAGATTCTTCGGGATATAGAACAGTATTACAGTACCCAGATCGATGAAATGCCAATGAATGTTGCAGATCTGATATGAGATCTCCATGCTACATGTTTGGATGCGATAATTTGGGCACTGATGACTCATTGTGTAATCGATTACCCTATTTGGTTGCATTTTCTTTTATGTGTGATGAATTGATGCACTTTGGAAGGTTTTGGTCATGAGGAACATGTTAGATTTAGTGCTAACTCTCTCAAGAAATGGCTTGTGATTGAGGTTTGGCTGTATACTTGTGGGCTGTTCTA